TTTTAAAAAATATTTTATTTTTTGTGGGAAATAAAAAAATATTTCAAAAAAATCATTTGAAAAAAATAATTGAAAATAAATAATTGAAAAACTGAAAACGGTAAAACCTCAATTTTTGAGTTTACATTTTTTCTCAAATTTAAAACTGAGAATCAATCATTTTGTGTTTGGTACGTTTACGTTTTCACGTTTAATATTTACAAAAAATTTTATAAAACTGGTTTTGTTTTATTTTTAGAAAAACATAAACTCCACAACGTGTTTGTCATTGACAAAATGATTTTAAAAAACGTTTAAAAAATAAAAAAGAGTGAGAAATGGCAAAGTGGTGGCAAGTTGGGGCGAAGACGGTGTGGAATGGTGACGGTGTGGTTGGTGACTGTGGCGGTGATGGGTGTAGCGAAGTGGTAGTGGCGTGAGGTGGGCTAGTGTGGTGTGGTGGTGGTGGGTGATGGCGGTAGTGGTGCCGTAGCGAGTGGGTGATTTTGTGGTGTGGTGGTGGCAAGTGTTGGCGGATGGCGGGTAATGGTGGAATGGTGGTGACGTGGCGGTGTGGGTTGGTTGTGGTGCAGTTGGTGTGGATGCGTAGTGGCTGTGTGTGGGTGGGTGGGTGAGGTGGCGGGTGGTAAGTGTAGCGGACACTTTCTACAAACCCTCATTTCTCTCTCGCACTTGAGCCTACTCCTCTCTCACAAGTATTGAAGTCGTGAAGCAAGAAGACACTCTGTAAACCATTTCTTTTATTTTCGCACTAAAGCCCCTCTCATATGTCTCACACTTAAGCCCTTCATGCATGTCAGTATTGAAAGCTATTATCCAAGAAGGCACCCTATGCAAAACCGACTGTTCTTTCTCATAGTGAAGGTGCCCCTTGCATAAGCACTTTTTCTCATTGTCTAAACCAATTCTACCATTTCCATCTAGAACACACATTTTAGAAAAATCGCAGGTCAAAAACCCCTTCCACAAAAAAAAAAAAAAAAAAAAAAAAGAAAATAATTAATGAAATTTTTTTTTTTTGAAAAAAAAAAATTTTACAAAAAAAAAAAAAAATTAGTGTTCATTTTTGAAAAAAAAAATTCAAAAACAAATTATGAAAATTCAACTAAGCGAATTTTAAATGCTTTTAAAGGCTTGGGTTGTAAATTTAAATTTCCAAAAACACTACCTACTCAATATGTCAAATTTATTATTTTATTATTTTTATTGTTAATTTACTAAGAAGGAAAAAAAATGGTAATGAAGATTAGACTACTAAGATAATGAAAATAAGATCAGATTTTTTTTTTTTTTTTTGGGTAAATAAAGCATAAAAAAAAAAGGAAAATACAAGAATACAAGGGAAATACCCCAGGACCTAACACAAGCTATACATAGAGAGCAACGGTTAGCAGGCCAAGCATCGAAACCCGTTAGACTTAAAACCCTGTCCCAGAAACATAAAAGCAGCACTATAAAGGGCCTAAGAAAATGTTCAATATTCCCAATAAAAAAATGGGATTTTTGAACACAAACCTAGACACCCAAAAATAGTCACATAATACAAAAGTTTGCATAGCCCGCAAAAAGTAGGAGAATTACAATGATGAATCACCTAGAAATATATCTCCTCCCTTGCACAGCCCGCAAGGGTAGGAAGCAAAGCAACAAAAAGACCAACTGTATCCACTGTATATACATCAAAAGACCATCTGTAAACCTACCTACATCATATATTACATTATAGCTACTAATCATATTACTGCCAACATTCTTTACAGTTGCTTCATCCATCTTCAGTCTTAGAGGATTAGTAAAACCTCAGCAGCAGGCCACAACATAACAACAGGCCACACCATAGCAGCAGGCCACAACTCCAAATTGAATTCATTTTTACAAGACGACCAACTATGGTCCCCTCCCACTTTCTCATATGGGAACCTAATAGCATTTATGTTAAGCAAGAATTATAACCAAAGCCATAGTTGTTGTCATTTATAATTACTCACTTTATGATATATAACTTCATGTAACTATAACATATTGATTGATGTTGGCTCAAATCATTTGGAAAATCCACTCCCACATTTATATTATATTTTGAATTTTTTTGGAAAATAATAAGCTAGCACAAAAGAAGAAGAAAATTATTTGAATGTGCTTTGCTTTCTATAATGTTGAAACCATTAGGAGTGTGCAGCGGATGGCCTGACCCGCCACACGGACCCGACCCTACCCGACTCGACGAGCTTTGGGTGGATGCGTGACCTGTGGCGGACGAATGCGGGTCCATTTTTTTTCATTTTCTCGGGTTCAGGTCGGGTCACGGATAATCCGCCAATTATTAGATAGGGATTTGGAAATGGAAAGGGAAAGGGAAAGGGAAAGGGAAAATGTGTGTTGAATGTAATTATAAGAACATTTGTTTATTTAATTTTTTTGTGTGTATATTTTTTCTATAATGTTGAAACCATTAGGGGTGTGCAGCGGATGGCCTGACCCGCCACACGGACCCGACCCGACGAGCTTTGGGTGGATGCGTGACCTGTGGCGGACGGATGCGGGTCTATTTTTTTTCATTTTCTCGGGTTCGGGTCGGGTCACGGATAATCCGCCAATTATATCTGTTCACCCGACCTGCCCGCCCTCTTATTTTCCCCCTTTTCCCCCCCTGTGTTGCCTCCTTTTTTTTTCATTTCACGTTTTGTAAACCAAGGTAATCTTCTCATTTCATCTATTGAAAGATTTTTTTTTTTATTAAAGGTTTTAATTATTTTTGTGATGTTATATATATAGTAGCGTAATATTGAAGTGATCTGGTTATGCAAATGTTTGTACTTGGACTCTGTTTTACTTATCTTGAGACCCATTTAGCTCTTAGATTAGTTTTTGCTTAAGATCATTTTCAGCCCTTCACCAATTTTTTCATCTAATTTGGTTCCAAATTTGAGTAAACAGTTTGATTTGATATTAACTACTCCAATCCTTTCATCAATTTTTCATCGAAATCTTTTTAAATTTTCTCCTCTTATCCAAACAATTAAAAATAATTCCTATTACCTCTAATAAGGGACCTCCTCATTGGTGTCTTGTGTTTGGTTTTTTTTTTAACTTGCTTGTTTTTCAACTTTGTCCTCTATTTTTTTCCACTTTCTGATTAAATTTATAATGTAGTATTTGTTTTGGTTAAGTCACAAAAGTATAACTAAGCTTGAGTAAATTCATTGTTTATTATTGGTAAATCATTTTGGGATATTTTTTTTTCCACTAATGATTTCAGTCACTGATTTGAAATCTTACGTGTATTGAGGCTATCATATGTCAAGTTGTTGATTCTGCTTCAGCAGCAAACCAATCTGTGTATTGTGTGTTCATGGCAGCACAACATCTCAGTATTGTATTACCTTTTTACTTATTGTTGGCTCTTGGTCCAATATTGATAGCTTATTTAAACATACTCATGTGCATATTAATGTGCTTTGCATAGTTTAAAAATGAGTATTTGTTAATTTCCCTTGAAGTCAATAATGTGAGCTTGAGGTGTTTAAAGCAAAGTGAGAGTGATGAAAACATCTCCACCACTGTTCGACAACCTTGTGCAGTTTAACATGCAATTCTTTTGCTATTAGTCTCGAAAGTGTGTGCATCAGATTGGTATAATGGGCTGGAGCAATCAACTTTGCATTACACGTTATGACATTAGCTCAGGCTTTAATTGGTTTTGGTTTTTGCTCTGTGATGCAGATAGCTCTGTTTGTTTCCTCCGGTGATGCTGTGCAGCCGGGTTGGCTTTTAACATTCCTCAAATGCACAAATCAGAGAAATGTGAATGCATCTAGTTAAGGTTTGTGGCTTTAGAGTTGAAGTAATGTTTACTTTTGTGCTGCTAGTGTTGTGTGTCAGATTAATTGGTAGGGAATGTGCAGCTAGAAGCTTCACAGTTTCAGCTGATTTTTTATTTCTTAGAACTGCATACAGTTGTTTCTACCTTTTTATTTATTTTTATTTTTTTGTAAGGTGTTGTTTCCAGGTGCTCCTTTGCTCACCTATTTTATATGATTTTCTTAGGTTCTTTTGAATTTGTCTCTTTTCTTAGGTTATTACAAATGAGCATGAGCAGGTTACTCTCAATTTAACATGTAACTGTGTCCTCTACAACGTTATGACACCACCATTCAGTGTCTTCACCAATGGTCTGACACGACCATACAGTGTCTCCTATCCTTTTTTTATTTTTATGTATTTTCTTGTTTTGTTTCTCTCTTCAAACTCAAGTTGGTTAGTTTCTATCCTCCTTAAGTTTGCGGGGGCTGTTAGAATTTACCATCACCTACCACCACTACCACCTCACCTACTCCACTAAACCTAACCCACTACACCACTACCACCATCCACTACACCTACATCTATATAAGGAACCATTTGTAATCAACAGAATATTAATCAATATTATATCAATCAATATCAATCAATAATACATCAATTTTTACAGTATCCTAGAGACTGAATTAATCGTAAATTTATAGAAAACAGAATCACGATCTCCGCTCGAGCGCAAGAATGGCCGCTCGAGCGGACTAACTAAAAAGCATGTTTCAGAACAAGGGTCTATGCTCGAGCACAGAAAATGCCGCTCGAGCGAAAAATACAACTTCTAGTACTTTTTCAAGTGAGTGAAACTTCTGAAAAGTCGCGATCTTTGCTCGAGCGGTCAAACAACTTCGACTGCAATTTTGCTTTTTGCTTCGAAGGCGCTGTCCCTCGACCCCGCTTGGGCGCTGCCCCGAAACCGCCAAGGAGCGCTGCCTCCTGGACCCCCGCGAGTTGATCGAGCAGCTCGATCCCCGACATAGTCAGCGAAGTGGCAAACATGATAGGATTAAGAACACAAACTCCTCTGCATTGGCCCAATTTGGATTGGATTCACATCTAAATACTTATAACCTCACTTAAATAAAAGATCGAATAAAATTACGACTGAAAGGAGTTTTGTCAAACGGGATTACCAAGAATAAAAACCTAACCCCAAGTGTGTGGAGAATGCAAAATATTTGATCATGCTACAAGTTTGTGTCCAAGTAAACCGAAAACTCAAGCTCCTAGTAAACTCAAACAAGAGTGGAAGGCCAAAGAAGTAGCCGAGACGCAAGAGGAAGGCAAGCCAAGTGAATGGGTTGAAGTGAAAAAGAAAAAAGGCAAGGATGTCGTTGATGCTCCTATGGTTAACTTTGTTCCTACACCTCCTCCATCTTCATCGAATGCATTTAATATTCTCAATAGTTGTGTAGCCAATAAGGAGTTTCTTTTTGTGCAGATCTTACGAGCATGCTTAATGCGAATTGTTCCTCTTTGAAAGTAACCCTTCAAAAGATATTCCGAATGAAGAGGCTTCAAAGGAAAAGAAAGAAATTGTCGGGAATGTGGGTAATATAAATGATTTAGCCCCTAGATGATCTTCACGTCCCAAAGGAGCTCCCCAATCCCTTTCAGATGGAACATTTGTTGTTCCATAGATAAACCCATCTTCAAGAGTGAAAAACAAGAAAAAACTTCTTAAGAGAATTGCTAATCTTAAACTTGCTCAAGAGGTAAGCCTCTCTATGAAATCTAAGAAATCAAGTTGTAAGACTCCTATGAAATCGTAGGCATGTCTGTTGATTGTTGCTTGGCCTAACTTTTGGATTCTCCTTGTATGTTTATCTACTTGTTAGATTTTTGTGTAAAAGCTAGGCATGTTTTTTCCCTCCTTGAAGGGAGTGTTGCCTTTGGACATGCAATGAGCCTCACTGTAATATCTATTTAAACAAAAAAAAAAAGGTCATTTTAAGGGGTTATTTATCTAGGGAAATAAATTTATCTAGGAGTTTTGTTTAGGAAGTTGAGTTTGTTTAGGATTTTGTTTTGTGCATGTTTCTTATAGAATTAGTTTGCTTTGCCTATATATATGGCTTTGATATAATCGATTTATTAGACTTGATATTATTTGAGTAATGAATAATTGAGATTGACATTGAGATATTGCTTTGAGATAGTGATCACTGGTTTTTCCCTCTTTATTCGGACAAGTGGGTAGAAATTTGTTTGAGGAATACGATGATTATGATCCAATTGGTACTCCCACCCCTTTTACACCGAAGCGTCCCAGGAATAATATGAGGCCGTGTAAGATCCACCCTGTGAAGAGACGACTTTTTGTCACTAATGTGGATACGTCTCCAGTGCAGTTGAGCAAGGATGTTAATGACTTGCGTAGTCGCGATGCACAAGTTGTCTAAAATTCAGCGTTCACTGATGCGGATACGTCTCTAGGTGATTACTTTTATGGCATCTTTTCAGTTCAAATTATGTTCATTTTGTTTACATTTGCTTTGCAAATTTTATGTGTGGCTGCTTAATTCTAATTTCTTGATATGCCAAGATAGATTTTAGCTAGAACATTTAGATGTCATAACTGATTATGATGTTTACAACTTGATTATGGAAATAAATAATTTACGAGCAGAAAATGACAAAAGAGTGTGTAATGACCAATATATCAAAATTTAATTTGTTATGATTTGAATCATAGGTTTCAAGTGAACCTTAACGACAATATAATTTGTTTCTGCAGGTGTTGCTGTGGGTAATAGTTGATATGACCGAGCGGGTGATATTGGAAGCTAAACTAAGATTTTTTTTACATTTTTTTTTGAGGACTTAAATCTGTTAGTATTTTGTATAAATACTCTTAAATGATGGTTGATGGATATTTGTTTTGCTGTATAGAAGTTCATATTTTGTATGCACACTTCTTTTTTTCCTTGAAGAAAGAATTTTATAAGGAATTATCATTCACCAAATGAGGTTGTAAGAAATCCTACACTACCTTGCAAATGGCCAAACTGTCATTTGGTATCACACACTGTATTGTTCTAATTTATAGAAGTAGCTGCCTCTGCCATTCTTGACATCAGATTTTGTGAAGTATCTGAATTTACTCTTGACTGGGAATTTGTTAAATGTGTTTTTGTTATTCATATTTTATCTCTTTTACGTTTATTTTAGGTATGGGATACATATAATTATTTTGTGAAGTGATTGAAATAATATAGCAACGGAAAATTAGAGAAGCCTGAATTGTGATATCTTTTTTGGTTTTTGGATTTGTTAAGGAAAGGAAAAAGTTAATTTAAAAAAAAAAACAATTCATGTTCAAATAAAAATAAAAAATGAATAGAAACAATTCATGTTTATTTAAATTAATAAATAAACTAAAGCTTGAAAGCAAAATTAAAAATAAAAAACAATGCATTGCATACCCAAGAATAGAAACAATTCATGTTCAAATTTTAAATACATTAAAATCAAAATGGTTAAGAAGAAATCAAATTACTTAAACCTCAAGAGTAGCTCTCATCAGTGTGAGATGCACAACATTTAAAAGAAGTCATTTGCCAAATTTTAGACCACAGTTGCACTAGCAAAGGCTATATTGTTTAGTGTTTTTGCTCATTGTCGAAGCAAACGCACAACAGCAAGTGCATATAGAAAATTGAATGTCATTATTCGATCGTTTTTTCCCATAAAATATTCTCTTGAAAATGGCCAAATTGTCATTTTAGCCACCACAACCATTACGGTAATGCCACAAAGTGGCTACTGAATAATTTTTGCCTTTTATCCTGCATTGATGATATGTAAAGTGAAGTCAAGAATTACTACATGTTTAGAAAGTGGCGTTATTTTACAGCAATGAAAAGGATAGAGAAAGGTGACAGGACAGTGCTTTGGTGCAATGACCAACTTTATTCACCCACGCAAACAACCCTCTCCCACCTAAGTTGAATAAATTTATATTTTTATTATAAAAACATGACACATGTATTCATTTTCTATCAAAACAAATTAAAAATTATAATTAATTGGATCAAATTAAAATAAGATTATAAATTTATGGTCAAAATCTATCCAATTGAAATTTATGGTGAAAACCAATGCCACCATCTTGAACATGAATACCAAACGTTGGCATTCCACTAACCTGTAAAGCAATAAACATGTCTCAATGAAGAAAATGGTCAATACAAGCACAGCTCTCACTGCTGAAAAATGTACTTTTAGCAGCATTTAAAAAACGCCACTATAGGTATTAAAAACGTCGCTAATTCTTTTTGTGACGTTTTGTACCAAATGCTGACAATGCAGCCGTCGCTATAGCTTTGTGGCGTTTAAAAAACGCCGCCAAATTTCCTACCCTAACAGTACTATGACGTCACTATGATATTTAGCGACGCTTTTGAAATGTCGTCATAGATATTTATACATTTTAAAAATCCAACCGTTGGGGCTGGGATATAGGGACGTTTAAAAAATGCCACCATAGCCTTTTCTTTTCTTTTTAATTGTGCTAAGCTTGACATTTAAATATAGCGATAGATATTTATACCTGTCATAAACGATTATTAAGAACTAATAATTGATGTATATTAAATTAATAAATAAACTAAAGCTTGAAAGCAAAATTCATGTTCAAATTAAAAATAAAAAAACAATCCATTGCATACCCAAGAATAGAAACAATTCATGTTCAAATTTTAAATACATCAATTAAAATCAAAGTCGTCTTTGTTCGCTCCCACAACCTTATCCACTATCTTTCCTTCTTTCAAGATCACAAAAGTCGTATAGCCTCTACTTCCGTTTCAATTCACCCCTAGCTCTGAGTTCTGCACAAGATAGCACACTTGAGAATATAATTTTGTAACAAAGGTTGAGTTATAAACCCAAAGTTCATGAGTTTAAGAAATGCGATAACGTCATTGATTGTACGAACTTATGAAAAATAAAAAAAGAATAGAGCATCACCAGCTTTATATTGCGCGATATCAACAACAATAGGAGCTGAATTATGCTTGTATATCACAAGATCAAGTAACAGGCGAGCCCTATGCAAATAGTCAAAACTACATGCCAAAAGTAGTGAGTACGTAAAAACATCACACATAATAAAATTAGTCTTCATAAAACATAAGACACTGATAAGTGGACAGTTGGGTATAAATGTAAGTACCTTGATTACACCCAAAGGCAAAGGTTTCCCTTGCATATATTTGATGACGAAAAGACCACAATCATAGCTATAGGAATGAGTGTAGTTGTAACAATAGAGTCAACGAACTTAGAGATTATAACATTAATGCTTATTTAAAAATTAAGAACGATAATGTAGTGTATTACCTGTTGTCTTGGCGTGGCATGTCTTCCAACCATTGAAATGCAAACGAACTAACATCTTGAACATAATCTTCTCCATGCGCATATTGAAGCAACTTATGCAATGATTGTACCTGTTGGTGGTAGGTAGTAAGGGACATAGATCAAGAAAGAAAAAAGTGGATACAAGTGGTATCATAATGGTTATTCTATTACCAATAATGTAGCTTGATTTTTTCGATCCTCATCGGTGTCAATACATCTGCTGGAGTCGAATAGATAGGCAACCCGTTTTTCCATGTTTACATTCAAGCACAACCAGTGGTTTTCCCCATGGTTGAAGGGCATGTAAATCTAAAAATATAACGTCGAATGTACATGCAAAAAATAAATAAATACATAACATGGATCAAATGTTATTGTGCATGGTAAATTTGGAAATTGGGTAATAGTAGTATTTTATCATGTTACCTCCTCACAAGCATGAAGGGGGCCAGTGTATCTGTAAATTCCAAAATAATCTTCTACTATATCTTTCATTGTGGCACCATATGAATTGATAATAAAAATGACATTGTTTTTTATTTTATTTTTGGGACTATTGTAGGAAAAAAAAAAAAAACGATGTCATGGTTATGTATAGCTCCTTTGCTGCTTCAAGTCTCACTTTAGGTGTACAGTTAGAAGGTTGAATATCTTTATTAACTGGTTTTACTTGCTTTGGTTTTAGCTATGTTGTGGTTCACTTTCTCATATTTTATCTTGCTAATTTTTTTTTTTTATTCTCTGCATGGGTGTGGGGATGGCTTGAACCACATAAACCACTTGAAAATTATAAATGTTTAGGGAAGCAATTTGTTTTTTAGAATACAAAATACAAGAAATTAGAAAATGAGAGAATGATTTGATACAGTTGTATTCAGTAATATACGTACACTAACTAAAGATTTGATGCACTAAGGACCCTTGCATGCTGCTATACCGACTGCCACTCACAATTGAATCTTGGAATGAATCAATAAATCAAAGACCAAATGTTATAATTTGCATATGGTACACATCTCAAAAGGGGTGTAGTAGCATGACCATACATATCACACATAAACCCATATAAACTCTAGTTTGGAATGAATCAATAAATCAAAGACCCCAAAGACCCTACAATGGTGTATTCCTAAGTCTGTAGATGGCCTGCTTTATTGGTGGATGAGCTGGAAATTCTATAATTTTGACAGACTAATATGGAGAGCAACCCCCTTAATTGTACTTTGGTCTATTTGGAAACTCAGAAATGATTGTGTATTTTCTAATGCACAACCCTCTTCTTCAGGACTGCTAGATCTTATAAAATTCAGATCTGCCATTTGGCTCAAAGCTTCCATTAAGGAATTCCCATACTCAGTTGATGATCTTGTCTGCAATTGGAGACAGATCAGGGGCGGAGTTTAGTGCTCTGGATTCAGTTTAGTACTATCTGGGTTGATGCTGTCTGCTGCATTGTGTTAATACCCCTTGCTATCAGTGTGTTAATATCCCTTGCCTGCTGTTTTGCTCTGTCTGCGGTCTGCTGGTGTGTTCTATCTGTGCATCTGTGCTCTATCTGTGTTCTGGTCAAAGCACATGCACTGCCTGTTGTTCAATTCTGGTCTGTGGATTGGGGATTGCTTCTACTGACAGTTCTGTTTTGGTAAAATCACTTTGGTCTGTGGATATGCCATGTCTGGTTTGATCTATCTGCAGTGTTGGTGTTATATTCACACTGTTGTTGTAGTGTGAATATGCCATGTCTGCTGGTTTGATCTATCTGCATAATTTACAAGCAGTTCCATTTTGGCCCTGCCTGTTGATCTATTTTGGTCTGTGGGTTGGTCTGGTTTGATCTAGCTGCATAATTTACAAACTGCTACTACTACCAGTTGATCTATCTGCTGTTCTGTTTTGGTCTGTGGGTTGGTATGGTTTGATCTATCTACAAGCAGTTCTATTTTGGCCCTGCCTGCTGTTCTGTTCTGTTTTGCTTGCAGTGTTGCTGATCTGAGCTTGGAGGTTTGAGAAACTTACTTAAGATATGTGTGTGTATGTATATTACACCTTAATCCACCACTCTTTATCTATTACTCTAGTAAATTGTACACCTTAGTCAAGCACTCCACTTAAATGTTAAATTATACACCAATTCTCTAATGCTCAACAAAGTTAAAGGGTCAAACTGAACCGAATTCAACAGAAGACCAACGCAGTAAGTAGTTCTCGCCATTGCACAGATCAAGAAAGAAAAAAGTGGATACAAGTGGTATCATAATGGTTATTCTATTACCAATAATGTAGCTTGATTTTTTCGATCCTCATCGGTGTCAATACATCTGCTGGAGTCGAATAGATAGGCAACCCGTTTTTCCATGTTTACATTCAAGCACAACCAGTGGTTTTCCCCATGGTTGAAGGGCATGTAAATCTAAAAATATAACGTCGAATGTACATGCAAAAAATAAATAAATACATAACATGGATCAAATGTTATTGTGCATGGTAAATTTGGAAATTGGGTAATAGTAGTATTTTATCATGTTACCTCCATTTGGTTGGGGCGGATGGGGTTTTGGGACCAAATTCAGTTCTGGGTGGCTGATGGAGCTCGGGTGTGTTTTTGGAAGGATCGGTGGGGAGGTTGCTTTGGAGGAGCGTTTTCTGTTGATTTTTTGTTTGGCAATGGATCCTAATGCGTTGGTGACTTCTTATTTGGGTGGGAGTGGTGAGGGGGTGGTTTGAGATATTGTGTTGCGTCGCCAAACTCAAGATTGGGAGGTTAGGCAGTTGGTGGACTTGTTGACCTTTTTATATGGGGTTGAGATTGGTCGGGTGGGGTAGGATGCTCTGGTTTGGGGGGAGGAGGGGGAGATTTCCCTTACCGTCGAGTTTGGCTCTCTAGTGTTCCATCAGAAATGGCTTTCTTTGTGTGGATGACAGCTTTCAGCAAGATTTTGAATATTGATAATTTGATTCATTGGCATCATTATATTATGTTTAATTGGTGTTGTATGTGTGGTGCGTATGCGGAGACAGTGGACTATGTGCTTCTTCATTGTTCGGTTGCTTTTCTTTTGTGGGCACTTATTTTTTCGTTATTTGGCATGATGTGGGTTCAGCCGGGCTAGGTCATGGAGGTTCTTCATTATTGGGGGGGTACCGAGTTGGGAAGAGGCGGCGGAGAGCTTGGGCAATAGCTCCTCTGTGTTTGATGTGGTTGCTTTGGTTAGAGTGGAATCGGTGAACTTTTAGGGGTGTAGTCAATCGGTGCTTCAGTTAGAATCTCGGTTTTTTGGTGTTCTATATAGTTGGATGTCGGGAAAAAGGGATCCTAATTTATTTGTTTTCTTGGATTTTGTAGATGATTTAGTTGGGTAGGTCCCCTGCTTTTGGGGTTTGTTCTCTTGTTATTCTAGTGCATCTTCTTGATGCTTTAGTTATAAAATTTTATTTATCAAAAAAAAAAAAGACTAGCCAAACTAAAGGGAGGTCAAAGAAGAGAGGTACTTAACTCTCTACAAAGTGGGATGGGAGGGCTCCATAAGCCTTGATTCTTGCTTTGTATTAGAAGTTCTGAGATCTGGCAACATTGTCGCCTAAGATGCACGGACTCACAACATGAACACGTCGACACATCAATTTTTAGAGGATACTGGACACGACACATGGAGGATAGGCACAAAATGTATAATTACATATATTTATTATATAATAATTAAAAATGCAATTTAACATTAATCACTAAAGTTTAGAGGAAGAGGGATTAATATGTATAAATCTATATTTTATCTTTGTATCATCTAAGTTAATTTGTTCATTTCATATGTGTCTGAGTAATGGACATGTGTCTCCCAAGTATCTGAAGTGTGTCTAGGTCTAAGAAAATTTTAAAAATAATGACTCATTTAGACAAATGTCGATGATTGTCAATGTCGAAAACGTGTCAGACACAAACATGACAGGGACACACACCTTAGAATATTGTGCTTTGTAGGTTTTTGTTTAAGGACTAGAAATATTGGACTAGTAATGAAAATTGAGTTGATGACAGGTACAGGTCTTGTGTCACGTACATCATTCAATCCACATTTTTTCACTTGCATTCTTAAAATTTCTACAAATCATATGCAATATTTTTCTCCCAATTAACTCTCTTATTCCATTCTATTCAGTTTCTGAACAAATGCCAAACTTCAATTTGTCACAATGGTTCAGTCCTAAACAGTAACATCATCAAATATTTGCAATTCAAATAAGTTCTCAATGCCTAGAACCTGACCAAGCCAAGAAAGAAATTCAAAGGGGAATAAATAATGCCTAAATTCAAAAAAGCATATATATTATATCTCTAGATGGTATTCTGATGCTTCTAAAAAGCTCACAGTTAACAAATTGGATTATAATGGACTGTCGTTGTGAGCCATGGGGAACGAGTCCCCGGCTGTTACGCTCAAATCATAAGCCATAGCCAATGGTTATTCCCTCTCCAACTCCCTGTTTTTCGATCGAAACCCACCAAGGCGATAAAACTTGCCCACGAGGACAAAAATTGTTGGAAAAATTAGATAGGATTTACTGTGAAAGTAAAATACCAAACTACTAATAAAGCAGAAATAACAAATAAATATTATTATTAGAGAGAAAGTTTAGAGAAGCATGTATGGTGGTCAAGGCATGCAGATTGCATAAAGGGGGGAGGAGAGAGATGGTGTTCCATACCTTGATCGGGGAGAGATGATGGACGAATCTGAAGGAGGGAGGTGCTCTTCTGAAATGGCTTGGGCTGCAGAGATCTTGAGGAAGGGAATTGCTTTTTTATGCAGCTGGATTTCACAAGAAGGAAGGTTCAATGTACTCTTTGGAGAGCCTCAAAGGCTCTTCAAACCTAGCCAGCAGGGAACGACTTTGATAAAATAGCCAGCCTGTTGGAAGGAGAAAAATGAACTGAGGGTAGCTAACATACCCAATTTGACTAGAATTGATAATGTCAAAGAAACAATCATATATTTTGGATTTGATAACTTGACAAGAATTGTTAATGTCTAAGTAACAATTCATGCCATTGTGGAGGCTCCTAGTGACCAACCAGGTTGATTTCCAGGCCAACTCGAACAGATCTTATTGCTGCTTTAGATAAATGAGATTTTACAAAAATAAGCATTAATTAAAAAGACACGGGCATCTGAAACATACAACCATAAATTCAAAATCCTTGCATGTATATCTATTCATCTAAAGCCAAGCTAAAATGATAGAGATTATCCATCCGAAACAACTACACAAACTGATTGTTACATCTTATAAAATGTCTAAACATATGATATCATCTGTATTTTGATTTGCATCAAGCAACTACAAAGATATTGAATCTAATATATTCCACTCTAAGTTCTTCTAAATCACATTTCCAACATACACGGAGTTACTTCCTAAAAGGGATGCAATTGATTAGACATCAACTGTACAATACTTGGCTCACTAAATTTCATTATAAAATGATTTTAACAAATGGA